ACCTAACGGTAAATGGCAAAAGTAAGACAAAGTTTTAAAATAAAATGATTTTAAAACATCTAAACTACTGAACCGTTAGCTTAAGGTTCGGTGCATTTTTGCATGAATATAATTTTCCTGCTGTCTCAGAGTAAAGTTCTTTATGTTACTTTTTATTAATTTTGGCACGTAATTTTTTATTTAGTGTTTGGGTTTTAATTAAATTTGCTTTGTTAAAGGTACAACACAAACTTAAATTTTGTGAGTTACTTGCAATTGTCAGCTAGCCGGTAAAATAACGCTACACTAATGCATTTTATGGAATATTTTAAAATTAAATCAATTGATTATAAAAAATTAAATAACTTGTAAGATTCTGTGCTGTGTACTTTGAAGTTACATTTGAAGTTGAAGAATCTTAAGAACTGATCAGCGAATAATCGCTTGAGTTTATAACACCTTAGGTAATAGGAACCTAAATAAATTACAGTTTCTACGAAATCAAAGTTTCTGCTTTACAACATTCTCCTTAATTATTATAAATATTAGCTATATAACACCAAATACACCAATACTAACTTCTAAAATAAAGCAGTTGACTGTGAAAGAGTATTCAATAAAATAGAATTACGAAATTTTGGAGGGAAGTTACAACTTGTCATAGAGCAATCATTTATTGAAGTTTAATTAAATTACCTTTGCAGTGACTTCTACTTGTTACATTATTTTTCACTAACAGTGTTATCACAGATAGCTGAGAGGTCAGCGCCTGCTTTGCAAATGGAAAGGTGGCGAGTTCGAACCTCACCCGTAGACAGTATTCAGTTAGCTTTCCTCATTTTAAAACATGTTTCTTATATTTAATCATGAATCATTATATTCTTATTTTACCTATTATTATTGTTTTCATTTCTTATTTTATTATTTTATTTGTTTTAATTTCTTATTTTATTCATTATTATTATTGTTTTTAATTTAGTTTAAAAATGTGCATTGCAAATAGAAACCCTTATGTAAATAATATATCTGCATCTCTTTATCATATATCATCTAAAAATTCTCTCTTTATTTTTACTTTATTGCATATTTTATCATGCACATAATTTCTCATAAACTGTCCAAAGTTTGAACCTCATTCTAAATTCAAAAATAAATAAAAGAAAAACAAAAGACCAAGGGAGGGGGAGTTAAAAAAATATGAAGTTGGTTTTATTATATGGTGGATGGTGTATACAAAGAGAATTAAGTAATTTAATTCTTTTTATATACTGTATTCCAAACCATTTTTATAAATCCTAATTTTCATACAACAATATAGAATCTGCCCGTCTGTCAAACTGGTCGATACTCATCCTGAAGTAATTATTACAAAACAAGTATACAAAAAAAAAAAAAAAAAAAAAAAAAAAAAAGTCAATTCCTATTTAGGTCCACAAAGAAAAATTTAAAGAATACAATAAATAAATAAATAAATAAAAATACAAACAGAATTTTTAAATTTAAAAAATTTAAATATGTGAAAAAGCTGTATTAACATCAAGTGTCATTCACTACAAATTAAAAAAATTGTATTTGAACTTGAGTGGATGAATAAAAAGCATTTTATGTACTGAAAAATTGAACAAGATATAGGGAGAGTGTGAGCTAATAGTAGGAATTTAATAATTCCGGATATTCATTTCGCAAACGAGGCAGAGGAAAAAATAAATAAATAAATAAAATTTCTTTGAACAGGTCGCTCTAAATAAATCTTTCGGACCCATTCTTGCCATTTTTTGCGGTTTTGCCTCTGCTTAATAATTGCACTTAAAAGTAAAGTTTCAGCAATATATATATATATATAAAAGTCATCTGATTCGGACAACTTGCCGCAAACATACAGATGCACAGCGAAGTAATAAGATCTCTGTTGATGCTATATTACAACGTCACGTGATTTTTGCGCAAAATAATTCTATTGGTTAAACCCACTTTTCGCAAGCGTACTCGTTTGGACGCTTTTACGCTGGTAACGTAAAAGCGCGTTCGTCAGCTACGTTTCGAGCGTACTCGTGTGGACGGGTCTTTAGCTCTAAATAAATAACGGCGAAGCTGTCAAGGACCTAAGTACGGCCGAGCGTAATAATAGCTTACGAGAGAGTAGCCTTAAAAAAAAAAAAAAAAAAAAAAAAAAAAAAAAAAAAAAAAAGCGGATGCGTGGTAGCCAGAATCACTGGTTCTCTCTAACGAAGTCAATAGAATTTCACGGTTAAATACTTCTCCTCATTTGCATTCAAACCCGATTCTAAAACTACGTTCTGGCCGGAAGTTGTAAGTTGAAATTCAGGAAGACAGGAAAGAAACTTCCTGTCTTCCTGAACTCAAAATTTAACTGTTAAATAAATTAATATAATCCTTACTATTAAGTAGAAGGTTTGATAATTTTTTCCTTGGCTTCGCTTTAGGAAATTCATTAATTATTTTCGAGGCACCGATGTTATTTAATTCTTCTTGTCCCATATATAATATAGCCATACAATTTAATCTTTCTTCTCCAGATGTATTGGAATCTGGAATTGTCAAAAATAAATCAATCAAAAATAATTTATACATTAGAAAAAGGTTATGCTATTTCTCCGGCACATGATACAGTTTCGCCGCAGAAGTGAGTGTACCTTCATCTTCTTTTCAAAATAATAAAAACAGACCTACTTCATCAAATTGTATAACATTTACATCACCTTTTAGAACTCTTTTAACTTTTCTACACACTCTTTATTTTCTAAATTACGACAAATTTAAAGTAAAGAATATTTGCCATTAATCCTGATGATTTCCTTGATAAATTTGCTGTATTGTCATACGAGAGTCCGTGACAAAGTTTAATTAATGCTCATACCTAATTTTGCTAACGCGGACAATACCTATTTTTCCAAATATGATGCTGTATGTTCTTCCGTCGATATAAGCCCTAGATGCATTTATTTTACATCACCACCTGACAATACGCACTTTATAACTAATGTCAATTGATCAGTACGTGAAATATCAGGTGTAGAGTCGAATATAAAGCTGTAGTAAATTCCTGATTTAACTTCTTCTGCTATGTATGATATTAAATATTTATTAATGATGCTGATGAATTCCTCATAAATATCATTTGACAAATAACTTACATTTCTTGGTTCTCGACGATTGCTGTATTTTTCTAGATGCATTTTCAAACAAATACTCTATTTACTGAGGTATTCTAAGTATGTAAAATAACTCGAGTTCTTAATTTCATCATGATGTCTAAATGGTAACACATTTTTAGTCGATTTATTAGACTAATTTTGTAGTTGATATAATACTTTTCAGCACATTTTGTTCAATAATCTTTTTCGTGTTCTGTCTGTTACAATAAATCAGAATCGATTTTATTTAAAGATGAAGGTCTCTTATACAAAGTACCATGGATGACTAAGCTACCTTTGAGATTTCATGTTCTGACAGTTACAGTGATAGATTTCCAGTTTTGAAAACTATTCATTAATTTGGATTTTGATGTGGAAAACATCTTGCAAAGGTAGCAATATACACATTACTCTCAGGTTTTGTCCCACACGGAAAGTTTTCTCTGACAAATTAGAAAGTTTTCAAACTTCTTTTATTATTCTAGTTTAAATCAAAGTAAGCTATTCAACAATTAATTAAACACTGTAGAAATATTTTTAATAAATGTTAGTCTGAAAATTTAATATTTGGTTATCAGTATATTTGAATGACAAAGTGTAACCAACTAAAATGTCTTACAGGTATTGTAAATTTCAGATAGAAAATAATTATAAATTTTAATTTTATCTCTTTGCAATATTTATATTATTGCTTAAATATGTGTTAATAAATATTTAGGAACGAAATTTCAAACTTATTTAAAATATTTTTTTATTTTAACGAAAACTTTTAATTTTTATTTAAAAAATGTCTGGCCCCTCAGTTGTTTTTAGACTGTTCATTCGGCTCTCATGTAATTTGAGTTTGTTGATTTAGTAGATGGATGTACTTACCAAAAGCTGGTGATTTAAGTTTGAAAGATCTGCGCATTTGAAAAGAATGCGAGAGGATTTTATCTTTCAAAACCGTACAAAATTGCAGTTATCTTTTTAATGTAATTTAAAAAGGTTTTACGATTTTGCTATCATGATCCTAGTTAATTCGAATATACATGTTCTTAAACTTTATGTATAACAAACTGCTGAAAAAATGAACCTCAATAATTAATTTTAGGGTACTAATATTTAACAAACTATTCACTATGCACCGAAACAAAGTTTATAGAAGGTTATAAAATCATTTAAATTCGTGGTTATTCTGAAAAGTCTTAAATTGTGTCGTAGTAATGCAAAGGAAATATCAGAAACTGAAGAATTCAAACAAAATTATACCGAAATACAAGAATAATACTACTTTTTAACATTATTTTGTTGAGTGCATTTTCGTTGAATATATTATTTGCGCCATTTTCCAGCGAACGGGTATGTTTATGAACCAATATTTCATATTGAAATTCTTCCGAAAACGTTTGAAAATCCATTTAAAAACAGTCAGAAACTCTTCTACTTTCATTTGACACTTCATTTCCCTTTCTTCCTGTCATACCGATCCGAAACAGAAACAAGTTCGGGGAGCATAACAATCAATAAACGGCAAATGAAAAAGAGCGGGAAAACAAGAAGAAACAAAAATAAAAAAACAGAAAAAGCCGAAAAATAAAAACTTCGTTGCTCCGAATCTTGTGCGTGACTCGTCACTGATGATGAGACCCTTCCGGAAGCCAATGAGAAGATCGGGGGGCGGAGTTCTCAGTCCTCCAATGAAAAGTCCCGGTGCTGAGGGATCGGGAACCGTGATCGCGGGGCGTGTTTGAGCGCCTTCTGTCGCTTTCCCCGACCCCTTACCCCCATCTGAGTATAACTGACGTGACGTCTAGGCGAATGGTGCCGTCCAATCAGATTGCGCTCCCGGACTCGAATCGACACTCTTTCCCTTTTGACCTCAGCCGGGCAGACGGGCGCCCGGACTCTTCTTGGGAGCGAGGACCTGTTGACTTCTTCCTGTACGATTGCCGGACCATGTCGGAGTCCGAAACGAGCGGTCATGTGCAGAATGTCCGCCCCAGGACGGTGAGTCCAGCACAATCTTCAACCACCGATGATGGTAAGTACATACTAAACGCTGCTGGTCTCTAATTAAGTGTTAGAATCATGACTTCTTGACCATTAGAAAATTACAAATATCGAACACGTCTTCACTGAGGTCTGTTTTCGTGTTGACATGACATTTTTCGTTTAATCAAAAAATTTGATAGAAGCACTCTTGAACACGATAGATTATTGCTGTTGAGAAATAACAGAAGTTTGGTCACAGTGTTCAAATTTTTGACATAATATGTAGATCATAAAAATCTCTATCATATTTCTCATAATTAGGGTTTTATTCTTTGAGAAGCATATCCTTTAGAAGAAAAATTACCTCACATTAGATATCATAATTGACTACGCACACTCATCGAATCATAGAGAAAAGTATTACATGATTTAAAATCCTCTTTAAAGCACCAAAAATACCGATTTTATCGATTGATAATAATTTGATTAATTGTCATGTATTGTATCAAAAAACTTCAAGAAAACTCTTCAAGTATAATTAGTTATTTAATATGAAACAAAACTAATTTAACTGTAGTTTCTTATAGCCCGGTTTATTTCTTCACTAGAAAATGTAAATATATATGATATCCACGGATAAATTTCACTTGTTTGATGTAGCACAATATTCATTTTAGCTTAATCCTCTCATAATATTCAAAGCAGTAATATTTAAAACATTATTCTCTTAAATATTGTAATAAAGGGCTTAAAATCAGACTAAGCAACGACAATGTGTTTGGCTTAGATTTGGCAAAAGAGAAGAGAAACAGAAACAAGTAAAATGTAAAATCAGGCTAATCAACAATCTTGTGCTTGGCGTAGATTTTAAAAATCTACTACGCCAAGCACAAGATTGTTGATTAGCCTGATTTTACATTTTACTTGTTTCTGTTTCTCTTCTCTTTTGTTTAAAGCCTTTTGAACAAAGCAACCTTTAAATCTAATTTGTTTGATAACAGAATGCCTAATGTATTAAAAAAACATGAAAACATGTCTTGATATGCATTAATGAAGAGGATAATATTTTAAACCAATAGTAATGTTTCAGTAACTTGTCTGTTGCATTGTTTAAATCTTAATGCTAATATTATTTCACAGGTAATAACTAGTCGAGAATATTAACAATAATTAAAAGTATCTTAACAACAATTGTCATGCCTCGGTACCTAGGCTACAGGCTAGTGCATTTATCTCTTAAAATTGAAATTTTGTAATCCCCCAGAGCGGAAGTCTGATAGGTCAATGCTATCATTCAATAAATAAATCATTTTTCTGAATTTTTTTCGCGTGGTTTTTTATAGCATTTTCGTTTCGCGTGGGGTTTAGCAATATTTTTATTGCAAAAATTTTCTTAGGCTGACTGTGATAAAAAAATTAATTGCTTTTAATCATTATTGTAAAACTTCTGTTTATTAAAATGGTTAAGATACTACTAGTTCCAAAAACCCACAAATAAAAAAATTGTTCAACAGATAATTGGCACAATTTTTACTTTACATTGCCATAAAATTTTATGAAAATATCTTGTATGTATATCATTAAATATAGTTTTTTCGTGTTCTCTATGAAAAATATTGCAGTTTATATAAATAACGTAAAATGATTTTTTATGATAATAACAATAACAGCAGTCTGTTTAGCTATATTTTAACTAAGCTAACATTTCCCCGAATCGTCAATTGTCTGTCAGATACTATAGTAAGCTATTAGCTATTAAAAAATACTAATTACTAAGCTAAGAGACGAACTGGTAACTACAGTATTTGAGGGTTAAATTTAATTAATACTGTTATGTACTTCAACGACAAGTTTAAGGGCTTTATAATTAAAAAGAAGTATTTTAAATGTGCTGTGCCAAAAATAATTTATTAGAATGTTATTTAAAGTTATTACTTTCGGTTTCGGTCTTTTTTTTTTTTTTTTTTTTTTTTTTTCCCCGGGGTCTAGCTTAAGGGGGGAGTTATGTATTAGTAAACAATAAAATTAACTAAAGTGTGTTTGAAATGATATATAAAAGTTAAAGTATTCTTCAAATATCATTCTCTCTCTCTCTCTCTCTCTATATAATATATATATATTTTAAATTTAAATTTAAACAAATTTAAATTCTAAACAAATACGTATAAAAGTGAAAAAGTAGAAAAGCAAATTTAAATTCTAAAAAAAGGAAAAAAAGCCAAAATAATTTAAAAATATGCAAACATATAAAAGATTCAATTCTCGAACCAATCCACAATATCATTCAAATCCAGAAGCACAAGCAAATCAAGTGCAAAATCCATCCATGAAAACAAATCCACCAATCTAATAAATTAAAATTAAATTAAACAATTTTTTTTAAAAAATGCATATGTGAATGATCGTAGAGTAGGCAGGAGACAGACTTATCAAGGGGAAGTTGCCTCCAAACCTAACTCCCCAATCATTCAATTCGTGTTTCGTCATTCATGCAGGCAAGGGTAAAAGTCAAAACCAAAAGTAATTCCAACAAAGCGGCACCCCCAGAAATCAACATTTAAGTATTAACATTTAAGAAGTTCAAAAAGGAAAATACCAATTAAGTCCCCTGAAAAACAATCAAGCAAAGTCAAGAATTAAACTTTTTCTTAAAAAATTAAATTTTTAAAAAATGAATTTTTTATAAAATAATAAAAAAATTTAGAAATCAATGTATTTTAGAAATCCTTGTCTACAGAAACCTCCTGCCTACTCTACGATCATTCACATATGCATTTTTTAAAAAAATTGTTTAATTTAATTTTAATTTATTAGATTGGTGGATTTGTTTTCATGGATGGATTTTGCACTTGATTTGCTTGTGCTTTTGGATTTGAATGATATTGTGGATTGGTTCGAGAATTGAATCTTTTACATGTTTGCATATTTTAAAATTATTTTGGCTTTTTTCCTTTTTTTAGAATTTAAATTTGCTTTTCTACTTTTTTACTTTTATACGTATTTGTTTAGAATTTAAATTTGTTTAAATTTAAATTTCATTCCTTGCAGCAATGGCGCAAAGAATATTTAATTAAATATGTATTTAAAATTAATTTTTTTAATTAAACTCAATTTATTCTTTTGAAACAATATATATATGTATACACATTACGTGATATACTGCATGGAAAAATACATTTGCCATAATCATTAAATAAGTTATTAATTATGCTGATTATTTGTTCTATAATAATAATTTAAAGTATTACAGGCAGATGCTTCTTCCTTTGTGAAAGTAATTTTTTTCATGTAATTTTTAAATAATACTTTAATCTCTATTTAAGCCAGTTATAATTCATGACTAATTACCTTTCGTCAGCTATATTTTACTTTGCACGCCATAATTGAGTCTGAATAACGTAGAATGGGTTATTAAGGAAGTAAAAAATAATGCGTAGCAGTATGACTTTTGAGTAGGAAGATGTATTAATAATTAGTCATTATTAAATAATTAGTATACCTAATGGATTAAAAACTGGTTAATATGTTGGAAAAGAATTGAAAAAGGTTTAAGAAATCCAATTTAATTGTAATAGCTTAATAGTAATGTAATTTACTATTAATTATTACTTTTCTGTAATAAAATATCATTAAATCCATCGTCTTGTGAGTAGACAGCGTAAAACCTTACTTAATATTATACTATCAAGCTCTATACAGTACTTATTAGTTTAGTATTATATTGTGTTTATGTATTGTAATTATAACGAAAGTTCAAAAGTTACAGTATAATTGCAGTAGCAATAAGTAGTTAAGTATTATAAAACATGTTGTACTTAATTTAGTGCACAGTATACTAATTAATATATACCAGTAGAATACGTTGTATGTATAATATACAGATTGCATTAATGGTGTATAGATAATGTATAAACAATACACATAGATTACATTAAATTTATCCCATTAGAGGAGTTAACATTTTTTAAAATTATTTTATGAGACCCCACTCAAAAATGTATTTTAGATTACGTAACATACGTAACTAAACATAATACGTACAGGTGCAAAGAATGCTGCGAATAATTAGTTCTTTTGTGGGGGATCGATTTGTCCAGCATTAAGTATTTTAGTTGAAATCATTACCCGATAAAAATCAGTAATATAAAGATTATTTTTTATTAATAAGGCTTCAGTATATGGCGTACTTCAATTACATTAGCATTTAATCAAAATTGAGGCATCAAGAAACTAAATTTGGGACAGATCGAAAAAATTATTTTAAGACTTTACACCTCACACATCATTTAAGAAGTTTATTAATCTATTTAATTAATTAAGTCCATTACCTTAGTTAATTAATTCTCTCAAGTAGTTAACTAATTTATTCGATTTTAATTTTGTTTAATGTAATGTTTCATTTCTTCTCGGAATGAATTACATATGTACTAAAACCTTTGTTAATCGAGCCACTATCAACTGAGGTCTGTGTTAACTCAGTCGGCAATCCCCGGGAAAATGTCACAATGCAACAATACAGGGTACAACTAAAATCGGTAATACTCGCGAATTTTATGTGATTGGTTTGGGTTTTTTTATCAGTGATGCGTCGTTTAACGGCTTTTCTAATGCGCTTACCGTAAAAATTTTTTATTTACCTGTGTTAAAAATAAAAAAGCAACTCTAACTGACAATGAATTCATAAACATGTTTCAAAAAACAAAATCGGAATGGATAAATGTAGAAAACAGAAAGCCAAATTTTTTAAGTTTTGAGTGACGAAGAAATCATTGGCGGCATGAATATGGGAGGTAATGAAATTTCCAGTGATGCTGAGGATGACGATGAAATGACAGTGTGGAAAATTAACCATGCTGAGCGCCGCCTGAGATAACCACTGACCTGACTTTGTTGTAAAAGTCTTACAGTGTTAATAGTCATCCTGGCAGAAGGGAATATTTCCTCCGTGTAAAAATATACATATAAATATTACATGGGCATAAAAGGCCTGTGTATAAGCATAGATATGTTGATTACAATCATTGTCTTGTACAAGTTACATATGATAGA